GGGATGCAGCACGGAGATGCAGCGCAGGGCTGCAATGTGGGGCTGCAGCACAGCAATGTGATGCAGGGATGAAGCACAGGGCTGCAGCTCAGGGATGCAATGCAGGGCTGCAATGCACGGATGCAATATGAGGCTGCAGCACAGGGATGTGATGCAGGGCTGCAGCACAGGGATGCAATGCAGGGATGCAATGCACGGATGCAATATGAGGCTGCAGCACAGGGCTGCAGCACAGGGATGTGATGCAGGGCTGCAGCACAGGGCTGCAATGCAGGGATGCAATATGAGGCTGCAGCACAGGGCTGTGATGCAGGGATGAAGCACAGGGCTGCAGCTCAGGGCTGCAATGTGAGGCTGCAGCTCAGGGATGCAGCACAGGGCTGTAATGTAAGGCTGCAGCACAGGGCTGTGATGCAGGGCTGCAATGCACGGATGCAATATGAGGCTGCAGCACAGGGATGTGATGCAGGGATGAAGCACAGGGATGCAGCGCAGGGCTGCAGCACAGGGATGTGATGCAGGGATGAAGCACAGGGCTGCAGCACAGGGCTGCAATGTGAGGCTGCAGCACAGGGATGCAATGCAGGGCTGCAATACGAGGCTGCAGCACAGGGATGTGATGCAGGGCTGCAATACGAGGCTGCAGCACAGGGATGTGATGCAGGGATGAAGCACAGGGATGCAGCACAGGGCTGCGATGCAGGGCTGCAATACGGGGCTGCAGCACAGGGCTGCGATGTGGGGCTGCGGCACCTTGGGCTTCTCCTGGGCCATCATGTGCAGCTCCTGCTCCCCCATCCAGGCCTCGGCCTCGGCGGCGTCGCGGTAGAAGAGCTGGGCGGCGTGGGCTCCCTGCAGGCGCCGGTGCCGCAGCTCAGCCTGCAGCCGCAGCTCCTCCCAGGCCTCCTGCAGCTCCCGCAGCTCCGGCGGCTCCCGCAGCTCCTGCAGCTCCTGCAGCTCCTGCAGCTCCCTGCGCCGCCCCAGCAGCTCCGCCACCCGCGGCTCGTGGCCCTGCAGCTCCTTCTGCAGCGTCTGCGGGGGGGACGGGGGGCTGGGGGGGGTGGAGACCCCCGTGGAGGGGGGTGGAGACCCCTGTA